TTGTCGCGACGGATGATGGCATGGTGTGGTAAGTAATGGACACGACTTGCATTGGTGGTGGATGTTTCATCAACTCTTTCTATGATTCCTCTAGCTATCTGCTCCTGCATAATGTTATCGTATTCCTTCAGGGTTTTAGGATCTTGTTGGAGTCTCCTTAGGAGGGATTCTAGTCTCCTTAGACTAAGCTGGTAGTTACCTGGTATGGTGACTTGGTTATCTTTCCATGGTAGGTGAACTTCATATCGACCATCTCGGTGTTTCACAGTACTTAGAAACTCTTCATAAACAGAATGCTCGTCAGAACTGATACCAAGTGATTCCAATTCCCAAAAACGTTTCAGGTTAGTTTCGATTGTTGCTTCTGGGAAAGGGGTGAGTTGGGTAGAACATCGTAACACATGGTAGATGCAATGTTGACATTGGAATGAGAATCGGGTGGTGCCTCTTTCACTGGACCAGACAAAACCCAGTCGAGCTTGGTATGCATTGCTGTAGGACCATTGTTTCCATGGATTACATGACCGGTGACCAACTGCCAATAATAATCGCTTCCAATCAGTATATCCAAATCGAATTCTTCTCCATCGTTTGCAGAGTCAGCAAGTTTTAGACCAGAAGATGTTCATAGGATTGTTGGGCAAATCTTGTATTTTGGTTTCCAATTGTGGAGCATATCAATGGAACAACATAAGCCGATAGATTTAACTTATGTCCTCTCTCAGTGTCCAACTGAAATTGAACCATATCACAGGAGGTAATATCTTCATCCTTAGAACCAAAGGCATTAATCTTGAGGGTATGTCGTCTTACTATAGGGAGATTCAGCTTGTCTCTCATTGTGGAAGTTATGTATGATCTTTGGCTTCCACTGTCAAATATAAGTCTTGCCTGCAACGTCTTACTAGGATCCTTTGGGTTGTAAATGGGGGCTCTTGCAGTTTGTAAAAGAATCGAGGACTGTGCATCGACAAACATATTGACATGGGTGTTCTGAGGTTGTTCTCTACTTTGGTTTGTGGGTTGGTGACCTTGGGGTTGCATCCGTGGGTGTTCTTCAGAGGGGGTTGGTTGGTGGGATGCTTCTTGTTCTGGTGGGGCAGGTTTCACCTTAGAACTGGATGGACAGATACTAATGTGATGACGCTTATCACATTTAAAACATTTTATCTTAGATTTGCACTCTCTGGCAACATGATTCTTTCTAAGGCATATATAACATCTTCCAGGCCGTTTCAGAATTTCCTTTCTCTCATTTTTGTCAGTCACGGTACTACAGCTATTTGAAGGGTGGGGTTGTTGACAGTAGGTGCATGTTGGACTTCCTCCAGTAGTAAACAAAGATGATGCAGATGGGATCTTAGGTTTATACAGTGGCTTCACAACATTCTAAATTTTCTGCATGACAATACAAATAGTTCACATGGAATTGGTTCACCAGTTAGCCCTACTGCATGCAAGTTTCAAGTTAAAGGAAAACCAGTATGTAAACAGGCATGGGTCCTTATTAATTATATAAATCCAAAACGATTTAATAGAATTTGGCATGACTTTGCCAATGGCACACAGCAATACAAACATGGAAACTCTGGTTCAAAGCGACACAGTACAAAGTCATCAGAATGATAGCATGGTTAAGTTCCTAATCAATGCAATTGGTGATCAGCAGCGTGACAGTGGTAAAGTACATTTGCCATTGTGTTTCACAAAATTGGCTATATACCAGAAAATGTGCAAGGAGCTGAAATTGGAAGATATTGTCAGAAGGTCACAATTCTACAGCATTATGGAAAAAGAATTCGGCCATGTTTTAATTCCAAAGGTACATGTATAATTAAAATATAATATTGATCTAATTATATATTCAAAATTAAATCCTACTAAATATGAGTCAAGTCAACACAAGGTTTTATTTCAGCAAGCAGTATAACCTGAGTATCAGGCCCTTAATATGTTTTCATCTCAGGTTACAAGCAGTAGAGAAAGACAGTGTAGAGTCTTGAGATTTACTTTTCTTGAGAGAAACCTTTCTAAGACCTTTCTGTTTCATTCATTACAGGAAAAGAGGCTCACTAAATGTGACAGCTGTACCGATTACAAGAAAGCCCTTGAATCCACAACCAACAAAGAAAAAAGAAAACAAATTGAGGACATTCTCCAGAAACATATTAATCTTGTAATGTAAGTATTAACTAATGTGACTGGCTAATCAATTTCCTAATTAATTAGTGTCCAAGAATTCAATAATATATAATTGTGATGTTTCCATAATTAATTATTTTGTCTTTTTGGTAATTATTCCCTGAAATGTTATGTGTTTTTGATATTAACCCATTGTGCCCCAGTGCGGGTACTTATATTTTTTTACTTGTCTAACACCAGACAGTTTTACTGGTCAATGGGGAAGCTCTGCAGCTTAATGGGGTTAACTTATACAGTTAAAGCTGTAAATGTTACCGGCATATCATAGTGTTATAATACGGATCTCACTGAACTGTGGAATCGCATAAAAAATTTTGTATTGCTGCCACTCCCATAAACATCTATGACCACACCTACGCATTTTCGCATGCTTACAATTCTAATTTAAAACAGCCAATCAACGTTTAATTGTGGTTGTTGCCAAGAACCGGATTGGCTGTTTAAAATTTGAATTGTAAACATGCAAAAATATGCAGGTGCGGTCGTAGATGTTTGTGGGAATGGTGGTGATATGAATTTTTGATGCAATGCCACAGTTCGGTGAGATCCGTAATACCATCAACCAGGCTCCAACTTGTAACATACTTGATTTGCAGTGTCAAACGTTTTACTGGCTGGTGAAACAGGTCACTATCCAATGACATTTTGTGATGTATACCAATGAAGCTGTGAGGCACTCATGTTGGAAAATGCTGCAGCTTTAACATCAGGATCTCACAAATCCAGTTTTGACACCATAGTATAAAATGTTGTCTAAATTAAGCGCAAAACTAAATTACCAAATATGAAACTTGTTGGGAAAAGAGGTTATCATTCCATTGTTTCACGTACCAATATAGGTTAGGGTTAGGGGTTAGGTATTAGGGTTAGGTTTAAGGTTGGGGTTAGGGTGTGTTATATGTGTATGGAGGTATCTAGTGAACTTTTCAGGGCACTATAATATCCATTACATAACGTTTACTATATTGGTGTGCGAAACATGGAACAATTACCGGAAAAGAGATGTATCATTTATATAATTTTCACATTTAGGAAAGAGAGAGAAAAATACCACCTCCATCGGTACAAAGCTTGACAAAGTCCTTCACAATATTTGACCATTATAGATGGGATGGATCAGAGTAAAACCAATGTACCAAATCCTTGATGAATTAGTAAATCAATCACTAACTTGCAAAAGTTACAGACTCATCTTGTTGGAGCAATAATGCACAGTGGGCTGTGCCCCATGGGAAAGGCCTTTTTTGGTATTTTTGACATTTATCAATGGAAGCATGATGCAAATTTAACAATGAATATTCTTGTTGTTCTACTGGAATTATTCAATGATCGCTATGGGTTACCACCAGTCTTAAACTTACAATTAGGTAACTGTGTGAAAATAAATTTGTTTTCATCCTATTGTGCCTACTGGTGAAGTGGTCTGTGTTTGACAAGGTGAGACTAAGTTAACTTATATAATATATATTACAAATGCACTTCAATTGTTGCCAAAGGGTGCTAGACAGACAGACAGATACACTGTAGATAGACAGTATTAACATGGTATAGGATAGCTATTAACAAACGGAATGTACCACATCTAATTAATCAATGCAATACAAAAGGTTTGTGAACTTCAGGTACATTAATTTTCAACATCAGTTGAAGTTTGATTAGGGAAACCTATGAAGTTAATACTAATTAATGCACTAACACTAATTAGTATAATGTATGTTTATTAAATATTAATATTTATATTATAAATCTATTAAATTGAGGGAGACTTTTTAACAGTTGGCCACACCCATGAAGACATAGATGCGTTATTTGGCTGCTATTCCAAGCATATTAGATTAAAAGACACTTATACAGCTGATGGTTGGTATTGCTAAATTATTTGACATCTATAATTCCATGCAAACCTACTATTTCACTAACCCAGTACATCACTTCCGTATGTATCCAAAATAAGTGGCAACTAGGAACAAGCTTAACCCTTCAAGTAACAATGCTCCCAGATGCATCCTTTTGTTATTTTACTCTGTCTAGTGCCAGATGCAAAAAGATTAAGGCTGGAATTATGTTTAATATAGTTTAATTTTTTTTCTTTTCTCTGTTCACGGCAGTGGGTACAACTTAAGAAACTCTGAAATAAAGCTAAATTTGCCCAAGCCACGAACTAACTATTTAAAACGAAGCCTTTGTTATAGTGGAGCTTTATTATGGAACAATCTGTCTCAAAATATATGAATGCTTCATTTGTTACCACTATTTTAGAATTTCTTAAATTATTACTATAATTTGTAAAATGACTCCCACACTGCAATATTGGAAATCAGTTGTAATTATTTTTTCTATCTAATGTACTGAAGATTTTACTGTGTTAAAATAAAGTTTTAATGTATTGTATTGTTTTCATAGCACTTTTCCTTATTTCCGTATTTTCAATGCTTTGCCACGAGGATTCCGACAACATTGACAATTTTCCGATGCATCTCAACATGAAGCTATATAATCAAGGATTCCCTTTTTTATACAATACATTTTATCAGGGGGGAGGGGCAAAATTTTGCTAGGGGGGCAGCCCTGACTACACCTCTGGTTTACATGCTATCAGACGAATTTGCGACCGGTCTGAAAGTCGTCCTTTTTCGCCTGTTTACACACAAATTCGTCCTGTTTAGGTGGTCTCAAATTCGGCTGGTTCAGTGGTTCTCGTCTGTTTACACGACCGAAAACAGACAAATTTCAGCCCGGTTCCAAATTCGTCCGGTACCGTGTAAATGTGGTCTTAAACTGTAAAATTTCATAAAATGCTGTGCTGAGTGGTTATATTATTACCTTAAAAAACAAGCAGAAACTCGACGTTTCGAGCGAAGGCCCTTCATCAAGAGTTAGTAGCCTTCGCTCGAAACGTCGAGTTTCTTCTTGTTTTCTAAGGTAGTAATATAACCACACTGGTACAGAAATTTTTTGTAAAATTTGATACCGCTTCCGACACAAATCCTGTAGCATATAACTGTCAACCAGAGTCAACAATAGGGGTGTCCAACATTCTGACACCCCTATCATTTAGCATATTTTTTAGATATTTTCTCTGGCCAGTAATAGGGGTGTCAGAAATTCTGACACCCGTATCAGTTAGCATATTTTTTAGATATTTTCTTTGGCCAGCAATAGGGGTGTCAGAAATTCTGGCACCCCTACAGTTAGCATATTTTTTTTAGATATTTTCTCTGGCCAGCAATAGGGGTGTCAGAAATTCTGACACCCGTATCAGTTAGCATATTTTTTAGATATTTTCTCTGGCCAGCAATAGGGGTGAACAGCAGATAAATGATTTTTTAGAAGAAATATTTGGTTAAAGACAGCTGACCTTTGATAAATTCCCAAGCTAAATATACGAGGAACAGTTATATCGAAAAATCTTGGCATAACTCGCGAATTGAAATGAAAAAATCGAAGAAAACCGTAAACATGGTTTCGACCCATTTCAATGCTTCAACCACACGATATCAATTTGATGAATTCAAGAACTCAAAAGCATGCAGTGGTTCCATTTGAAAAGATGGATTATTCAATCTATAGACCCTCGTCAAACTGTGTTGCATTTACGACGACCAAAGAAAGGATTACTACTTGGATTAAAGTATTCTATCGGAGATACCATGTGCAACAAAATAATCATGGTGAACAAGGTCCACTGAAATCAACATGGGAAGAACAAGCCCAGAACGACCCAAACAAATGTGAAAAAATACACTTACACTTACACTGCATCTAGAAGGAAAGAAACCACAAGAAAGCATTGTGACAATAATAATATACTGTAGTACCGGTCAAATCCAAATCCAAGGCTGTTTTTTACGCGAATGAGGAGACAATGAATTCAATACAATAAAAAAATCATTGACAAAAATACCAATGATGTATCAACGATAGCTTCAAAAAACATCACACAATTCATCAATGCTATTTCACAATCCCCAACAGAAAAACAATATGATACAAGAAACGAATCAAAGAAACGAAGCCAGAAACAGAAACGAAACCAGCAACAGAAACAGAGCCAACAACAGATACGAAAGTCACCAAACAAAGCTTTAGTATTCCTGTTATAAGCCCAGCTCGTGAACGACCCAGCTAGCACACAACGTTATTGCAACGTTGCATTTAGGTCGTATTTTGGTTAGGTCAGACCTGACCAAAATACGACGTTTACACAATGTTATTTGTCCGTTTAGTTGCATATCATATTACATACGGCATTATCCAATGTCACATAAAGGTTGTAGTAAGGTTCTCATAAAACGTGTCTCGCAACGTTTACTTGACGTTGATATAACGTTCATCTGCAAATAATATATAAGGGAATTTAGGGTGCTTGTGTAAATACCTTTTTCGCTGTTGAAACGTTATACCTTATGTTAATATAATAGTATCATGATTTTCGACCACCCCCTTTCGCATCATACTACGACACAATTTTTCTAATGTAAATATCTCGGCGAGTATTTACCCCCCCCCCTTATAAATAAATACCACCATTGTAATCCTCACAAAATAACCTTTCAAACGGGGGGGTCAAGTGCCGTCTGAACATTACACAAACCGAAACAATCATATATTTACTCACCACTTGGCCAAAGATTCTAAATTTCATATACACAAGATCTTGAATATCTCTTGAACATTTCGTCATTTGCTGAACGGCTATATGTGTAAAATACTCTTTGTATTCAAGCGCTTTCGTGTACAAAATTTTGTTTGAATACAGCGAGTAGAAATATTTATTTTGAATTTTTCAAGATGTCGGGTTTTACTCGCACTTGCGTACATTGCACAATAATTGGCCAATAAGAAGCTCCTGTAGCCGGGATGACGTCAAACTCACGCATGTAGGTGCAATTTGACCTTGCGAATCCATTTCTGGCCTTTGCAGGGTCATATGATACAAGCTTCGTGTTGTTTTGACGGTTTTCAGTCGTATTTCCGGTTGGGATTAACTCACTTCGAGCTCACAGTCGGGCAAGAAATGAAAATATATTGATAAAAGATACAGATTTGAAGATACAGGCTTGCAAATAACACTCTAAGTAGTGTTTTTAATGGGGATTTTAACAAGACTATTACAAAGACGATATGTTCGAAGGGGCCGAAGTTATTTTCGGCAAAAGGTACGGCTAGTCTATATTTTTGTTCAGACAATTGCATAATTTGATACAATATGATCGTGTTTGACTTCAAAGGCCCATAAATCGCTACAATGTTGATAATGACTATAACTATAGGGAGGAATTAGTTGAATCTTTTATTTCTGAATCGAATGGTGGTATTTCTGTCTTCATAGCATGCACTGAACCGAAGATATTAAATTTCTTGCAATCGATCAGTGCTGATCGACGATACTGGGATGTGGTGCAAAGGAGTTACAATAAATAACAAAGTTTATCGACAGTGTTCCATAGCAAAGTTGTGCGAACGTCATCACTGGACGTTTATACGATGTAAGGTAACAACGTTCTGTGAACAGTTTTGTTTTACGTTCTGAAAACGTTAATAGGAACGTTTAAATAACGTTTGACCTATCACGTTTTTAAACGTCATTTAATAGGTATATATATTATCAAAATGGTTTTGTAAGTTTTCAATGATATCCACCCTTTTCTAAAACTAATCTTTTAAAATTTGAAGATTTCAAAGATTTCTGAGAGGACATGCAGTCAAACTGTATAACTGATTACAATAATCAATATGGCTAGAATTTTCCGATACAAAATTAGGAAACAAATCCAGCCGATTAATAGGAACCGAATCCAGCCTATCTCTGTGAAGTAAAAGTAAATATATAGGCCACAAATTATTATAAGAATTCGTTCGAGAAATTCAGCTTAAACATATTTGAATTAAAAAACAGTAAAAGGTAAAATATGTGAATTATAGGCCTAATCGCAGGTTAGGGATGATGACGTCATCCTACCGCCCACGCGAAGCACATGCCAAAGCACGCATGGTTTGATGATTATTCGATTATTCGAGCGTCGCTTTACTTCCTTGCTGGATTGTTTATCGAATTTATTGGAAATCTTTACGAATCCTTTCCCATCCGTTCTTTATTCGACGAAAGAAACACTTACAAGGTTTGTTAAAGTTCTTATATGTATTATATTTACTATATTTTTCCGATCTTATATGTTTATTAAAGGTGAATAAGGTCATATTAATCATTCAATAATTCAAACAGTTTAGTTAATAATTTGCGTGTTTATTGCCTTTGCATGTTCTAAACAGGCTATTAATTGTGAGAAACACTTACCTTTCTTTAGACTTTAGGTGATAATTGCTTCAAATTTATCTATTCATACTGTTAGTTGTGTGATTGTGTGAATTATTTGTCAAAAATCAGCCCGATAATATCAACATTTGGCAATTTGCTTATTTCGTGTGTGTCAACCTCGTGTTATTGACAAGCTGTTTACATCATCATCTTAAGTTTTTAACTTGGGAAGTTATTCAGTAGCACAAATGACAAAGAAAATATTTCTTTGGTGCATTTTCAGTATAAATAAGTTAAATGAGCAAGTATATCCATAAGATGATTGAAATATAGTATGGTTGAAAACAGAAAACTATTAGTCGGCCATTAAAATGACTGCGAAGTAGGTTTGAGCAACTGATTTAGAAATACTTAACCTGGATAGTTTCTATACCTACAGAAAATGAAGTCCTGCATGATGTCCTGTTTTACTTCTTGTTCTTTATTGCATAAAGACAAAAGACTTCAACAACTAGCGATAGATCCTAGGCTCAGAAATAGCTACAACACGCTAAGATCTGCCACAAAACCCCCTTTCAAGCCCGATTTATTCACCAACTATTGCCCCTACATGTGAAACTATCTCAGTTCCGGTTCTTGTAATTTTGTTGATTACGATGCCTTAGAGAAACACTAGTGGTCACTTCAAAAAAGAGGCCGGATTAAAAGTTGGCTTCATAATTTTTCTGTAGGTATAGAAACTCTATCAAGGTTAAAGCTGCGGTACAGTCCGCATGTAAACGAAGGCTTTCTTTACATTTCGGTATCCAAAATATTGAAATTTTTTCGACAACTATTTATATTTTCATGATTCTAGAGTATAATAAATTATCAAGAGACAACAATCAAGCCTTGCAAGAACATAAAATGAAATAAAAACCTAAATAAACTGTTTGTAAATAGAAAGAGGGCTCCTTTGTGCACATGTGCAGATTGGACTGTACAGCATTTTAAACTATTTCTAGATCAGTGGTTTAAGTGTGCACAGCATGACAGTTGTCACACATTTTTTAAACCAATTGCTAATTTAATTAAATAGTTATATTACTTGAAATGCTTACAGTATGTGATGTTACTCTGAGTGTATATCCACACCTGGCAGGCTTGAAAAATTTGCCTGGCCACAGTGGGAATCGAACCTACGACCTTTGGAATACTAGCCCAATGCTCTGCCAACTGAGCTACATGGTCAGGTCGGTTCGAGTATGCTATATTTCGGAACTGAGTCTAGTTCCTTCAATGTCAGTGTAATCTAATAATCATGATATTTGCTGTGTTGGTGTAATGTACTCAGGTGAATAAAAAGTCTTGTGTGATGTTACACTGAGTGTATATCCACATCGGCTATAGGAATATTTTTCAAGCCTGCCCGGTGTGGATATATACTCAGAGTAACATCACACAAGCATCTTATTCACCTGAGTACATTACACCAACACAGCAAATATCATGATTACTTAAAATATTAGGTTTTTGGGGTGTAATGTTATTACTTGGGCGACCTATTGTCGAGCAAGTCATAAATTTGCTTTGTTTTTCTCTGGTGTTGAGTTTTATCCCCCCATGATGCTTTGAGTTTCTCGCCTGTTTCTCCCGTGCTGGGGACGAGGCTGGCTTTGAGGCATGTTTTCCATTTTCCATCCATGATATGTCATATTTGCCATGATATGTGCTGTCCTTGAAGTAAAGTTAAACTTTGTATTCAAAGCAAAACTGTAATTTAAAGGTACCCCAATGGCTTATATCTAATTATTTATGTAAGAATGTTTTCGTATCTTCTATATCTTGTCTTGGCCCTAATACCTGTACATCTGGTTGTCTAAGTGTTGACGACCAGGTCATGTTTTCGCTAACTACGACGTACTCTGGTTTTATAAATGAATGCAAAGCCCAGTCGAAATGTGTTATTGTATTCACCACCCAACATACTATTTTGCCAAAACACGCTACTTACTGTAATAAACGCAATGACATTCCCAATAGAGTAAAATGTGGATAACAAGTGCATTTCTATGCCAACTAACATTTAATTGTGCACCAGCTATTTATTTCTATGCCAACTATAAACATCTGCTGTATAACTTGAAATTGCCATGTTTTTATACGCAGTCTCACTGCCAGCCTGAGTCCTTGGCTAATAAAGTTTTGTTAGTGATTTGCTGTCGCTTGCTACTAAAGATGAACTGTCATAGGTAAAATATTGTCTATTCTCATGACAAAGTTCATTTGAACATGATTGGCTGATGAGATTAAAACCTGTCAAGTGCTCTTGACAATCATTGAACTTTCTAGGTAAAAACATTGAACTTTGTCACACGAATGGGCAATGTTTTTATGAGCGACTATTCATCCTTAGTTGCAAGCGACAGTACTAGTACCTCATCTCTTAGGAGAATACAAGGTAGAGGATGTAGCCATATGCCTACTAAATTTGTTGATTTTGAGCACACAAAATGTGCAGTGTTATTTATTATCAACATTAACAGTCTGGTCCGTCTATATCAGCGTGCTTACCAGAGTCACCCAAGTAAATGCCTACCCGGCATCTTGTTACATTTATATCCAGGTCTAATCCAATGCAATACAGTTGATAAGGTTTGGAATGAAAAATAAGTGAATTTCTGTATTTGTAGATTATGCAGACTAATAGAATTGGTTATAAGAGGAGATGGATTTCGGCAGCTCGTGCATTGTCTAGGAACATAAGCACTAGTACATGTGCCCCAAACCAAGATGAATTCCCAAAAGAACCCTCTGTTGACCATGGTAATGCAAGCCCTTTAGAGTGATTAAATAATTCCAACAATAATTGTCCTAACATTGATCACATACATTCTTTGGAGGGAAATTGTTCTACTTCATCATCTGACTCTGAAAGCTGTGGATCGGATGAAAAGTTAAGAGTAGATTTGGCAGAGTGGGTGAATGCCTATCAAATCAAACATAATGCTGCTGACAGGCTTCTTAAAATACTTAAGGAGTCTGGTCATCACAATTTGCCTGGGTCAACTAGATCTTTAACTAAAACTGCTAGGCATGTGCCCTTAACTCAAAAATCTGGCATGGATTATGTATATTTTCCTGTTAAAGAAGAGCTGATGAAACAGTTTTTGCGTTACCCAAAAACAATGACTGATAATGTGACCACTCTGGAGATCTCACTTAACATAGATTGTCTGCCATTGTTTAAGAGCTCCAGCAAGACTCTTTGGCCAATTCTATGTGGATTCATGAATGTTGAGCCTGTTGCTGTCTTTCCTGTTGCCCTGACTTATGGTACATCTAAACCAACTGATTTATAATTTTTGCAAGATACGATAGATGATTTAAACCTTCTTCTAGAGCACGGCCTTGTAATTGGCGAAAGAGTTATACCAATTTCTTTCAGATGTGTTATGTGTGATGCACCTGCTAAGGCACTAGTGAAAGGAACTAATTTATATTCTGGGTATATTGGATGCGATAAATGTGCCCAGAAAGGACAATGGTTTGGTAGAATGACTTATCCGGATACCAGAAATCTTGAACTGAGAACAGACGTATCTTTTTGCAACCACTCGAATAGTCCCCACCACAAGGCCAAGTCACCATTTAGCCAGATGCCGATAGATATGGTTGACATGTTTCCAATTGATTATATGCATCAGCTATGTCTTGGAGTAATGAAGAAGTTATTACTGATTTGGATTAGGGGAAATAGGGATGTGAAAATTTCTGCCGGCCAAGTTGAAGAAATAAGTGAAAGGTTAATTCACCTTAAGCCAGCTATTCCCAGTTGTTTTGCCCGGAAGCCACGTAGTTTAAGTGAGGTAGATCAGTGGAAGGCCACTGAATTTAGGCAATTCCTTCTGTATACTGGTAAAATAGTTTTAGATGGAATCCTGAGGCCAGATCTATATGCCCATTTTATGAGCCTTAGCATTGCAAGTAGCATATTAGTTAGCCCCTCGCTTGTGCAAACCTACTGGAAGTATGCCAGTGATTTGTTGGTTTATTTTGTTGAACAGGGCAGGCTTTTGTGTGGCAAGGAATTCTTGGTGTATAATGTTCATTCTATGCTTCACCTTGCTGACCGAGCAAAAGAGTTTGGCAGTTTAGATACGTGTAGCAGTTTCCCATTTGAGAATTATATGCAAAAATTGAAAAGGATGGTTCGGTCAGGAAAAAATCCTATTGCTCAAGTGGCAAAGCGATTAAGCGAGATGCATGCTAGTAAACTCCCTGAGAAAGTGTGTGAAACAGAAACATCAACGAGGATGCCAGATAATGCTTATATGCTCAACAACAGTATCTGCTGTGAGATCCTAGAGAAGGGAAATCAGTGCGATGAGAATGGAAACACCCTCTATCGGTACAGAGTTTATGAGCGTTTAAGTCCCTTGTTTGACAGTCCCAGTGACTCCCGAATTGTTGGAATTTACCAAGCTAACAATCGCTATGCAAGGGTGAAGTTTCTACCTTCAGTCCATTTTAAACAAAAAGCAATTAAGGTTGATGTTGAAGGAGAAGAAACAACAATCTTCATGGCAATCTTGCATACAGTTTTGTGAAAAAGTAAGAGTGCTGTACTGTAGTACCTCTTGATAAATGTATACATGCTTAACAACATATTTCTTATTATAGGTTAACCCATTGGCACCCCCTGACGAGCAAAATCATCTGGCATTAGACAGAGTGCAATAATAAAGTAGGGCGCATTGCCACTTACTGAAGGGTTAACAGGGTGCATGTGCAGATAGTCTGATTAACGCATTAAGTGACAACACTCTCCCCATGACGAGTAAAATTGTCTGGCGCTAGACAGAGTAAAATAATCTGTCGTTAGACAGAGTAAAGTAATAAAGTTGGGTGCATTGCCAATTAAAGGGTTAAACAATATTTCCAGAACTTGGATTGATTATGCAATTATGATCTTCAGTTAACATGTACTTTATATATATTATAGATGAATAACTTTGCTGTGGTAGAATTTGTAAAGGAGAAGACTGTAGAGATTGTTAGAGAAAACTGGATCGAGACATGTGATGGGGTAAGTTAATATGTTAAGTTAATATGTTGCCATCAACTATGCACATACTGTATATTTAAATTTTACTTTTCATTTAAAGTTTATTTGGTTGCATCACATCTGTGCCAAGACTGGAGGATGATCATATTTGATTATCATATTTCCTGCTTGATTTAGCAATGTTAACGTTGTTACTTACTTGCTAGCTAAGCTGGTTCCCACAGTAAGCATGTAGAAAAATAACAAACAATTACAAGTTTAAAAAATAGCAAAGAATTACTGTAGCATGCAAATATAAAATTATTTATGGTACATTACTTAGGAAGTGACTTGTTTTAAAAGTAATGGGTAGCGATTTTCCTTTCAACCCTTTAATATGCTTTCTGGTAAACTCTTTTTCAAACTATTTGAACATGGTTTTGGCGAACTTGCTGTATGCTCAAGTTGTCACTCTCCCACATTATACAGTTAGACACATTTGGATTGCTTTTAGCCATTTGGGGCATGCAAAATTTTTAAGTGATTAACTGATTATTCAATGTCACAATCGGCAAAATTGTAATGTTGGATCTGCTGTATTTTTTACATTGAGAATTAAGTTTTGGTGGCAGTTGCAGACTTCAATTGCTGAATGTTGTGGGCACTATAATTACAAATCATTGCAATTATTAGACATGCAGTTTAGTTTTTTTGTTAATATGTTTATAGGATATATACTGCTATTGGCCAAGTACTAATGCAGGTAAGAAGGTCAAGCGTGGTGACCTTCCCGATAAGCAGAGATAGAGGAAATATCTAGCGAGGGTATTCATGTACACAGGTACATAGGACTTTAATTCATTTTATTTTGTTTAGACATCAGTATAGTACTTACTCTGTGATCATATGTTTATGAGGCAAACCAAATTTAATCCCTCTGTAGTACTGTATTTGTTGCTTGGCTTGTGTGCTTGTTCGCAAAATATGTATTTACTAATCAACACATTAATGATATAGCTGATCATGGGAAGGCATTGAAGTGTTTGAAGCGTGCAGAAGAAACTTCCAATATGGAATCGGAGGAAGAAGGTCCACGTAAACGTAAAAAATTGCAAATTCAATCAGACTCAGAAATGGGTAAGAAAATGATATAACCTTATTTGTGACCAGAATTATAGTAGAATAGCATTTGCAGAAAATAGCTTGTAATGTTCCAATTATGATTGCATTAGAATTTTTCACCCAGCACTTCTTCCAATAAAGTTTAAATCAGCCTATATTATCAAAGAAGAATGGTTCCAAAGAAAGGCATTTTTTGTGGATTTTATTTTTTTCGAATGCCATTTTGAAAACAACCACAAATGATAGCTAATACTATGATGTCTCCAGGGATGATAACCAGGGTTGCCATTAGTCCTCTGGGCCAAAGAGTGGAATGAGGGCAGTAAGGCAAGAGGGTTGTCTGGAATATTTGCTTAACCCGGACAAAGCAAACCTACTGTACTGTATTTTTTTGGTTTTTTTCCAAACAGTGACAAGTGTCTCTATACACTATAATTTGTTCAAAATTTATTTCTGCACAAGTTTACCTCAATGCTAAGTGTTCTAGATTTCTAGTCTTGGCAAATGTTTCGAGTGATCAAGCACTATGTCATTCTAATATACTTGTTAAATTGTAGATAGATGATATTTCTTATCTGTTTAGACGGCGAGGAGAGTGACTATGGGGATCACGAATGTACTAATTTTGCCAAGGATAATCAGCAAAATCCTTCTCTTCCAAAGCCACCAGGATTTTCAAAACATTCCAGAGTAACTGCTCCACAGAAACACAACAACGCTACAAGTAAGTGGCTTATTTTTTTGTGTATTTATAGCTAATGCATGTATAAAGTAGAGATTATAAATATAAGAAGTGCACAAGAGAAGCATGCAGTAAAACATAAGGCGTTCAGCCAAGCAAATGTTTGCGATCTTAGCAATTACAATACACTTCAAGTCAAATTTCCTGTGTTGACAACTTGATTGGACATGTATAAAATATTTCTTAAGGTACGTTTACACACTGTGATTTGTCGTGTATGATTCGTATTCTGGTGAATGACACTTACTTCGCTATAACTCCTCTTCATTTAGTTTACCGCGAAATTTGAAATGCAACTACATACGCCAAAATACGAATCGTACATGACAAACCGCAGCACGTAAACATACCTTTAATTAACTTTCAACTGAAATTAAAACTAGCCCCATCACTAAAATTGACACCTAACCAAATAATTTGGTTAGCTGTCAATTTTAGTGATGGATTTACAATATAATTCCACTCTACAATTTCCATCTACAACTGGCCTCTGTAGTCTGTAGTTCAGTTTGTTAGAGCGCTGCAACGGAATCATAGGCCGCAGGTTCAATTCCTGCCAGGGACCTAAAGTTGCATTCTTCGCTTGTGTTCCTGGTTAGGTCTAAAGATTTAAATTTCCACTCCACAATTTCTATCTACAAATATTATTCATTCGAGTGAGATGCCACCAAAATCTTGATATTTACAATATTTAATCCACCTTCGCTCACATGGCTCAATAAACCAATCGTGTATATTTACAAATTCACATTTTAGGAAATAAATATTTTCTTCTACAGGTATACTGTACTCATATTTTATTATTTCAGTAACAAATTGTGTCTCCTCGAAAAGAAATTGTGGTGCCACTCGCTCCAAGCCAGCTGTGCCTTCAACCCATGGAGGTCCACCTGTCATTAATGTAACTGGTATGATTACCATATTATTTTTGGTTTATTTTTGTTGATTTGATGAACAAGAATATTTATGAATAACCAACCATCCACTGACACTCTATTGGTGAATTTAACTTGCACCTGCATCTTGGGTATTCCCTACATGAATATAAGTAAAAAGAACAACTTCTCTGCAACCAACAACTTGTTTTAACCAGTTAAAATCAACCAACTCATAAGAGTGCATCAAATCTTTCAAGGAATACTTCGCATGAATGAAAGACTTTTAACATTCTGTGTCATGTTGCAGGGCATCAGCAGTCAATTTCCACCACACTTCCTGGTGCAACGAATACAGGGACGCGCATGCTATCAAGTCTCTTTCCTGCAGAGTCGTTCGAGTTATTTCCTGATATCATGAGTCAAGGTGATTTATATAAGCTTGTACTTCATATTGATTAATTGTCAAATCAATCTTTTAACAATGACAACAGAATTTTGCTTCTGTTAATTAAAATGCTCTTGGGGCGATTATGCAATACCTGTACTTAGATTTGCAGTCAAATATTATTAGTATTATTAACTCTTTTAACAAATACATTATTTTTAAAAATTATTCGTAGATCTCCCTGATTTACAAGGTGAGTTGCCTGAAGATTTTGGCCAAAGTTTCTCTCCTGGTCCATCCTTGACAGTCCCGACAGCTACTTTTACAACTAGTCAAGGTGAGTTCTCTGTATATGCTGCAGTGTTTTGCTTGTAATTTCTTTCTGTAACATGTTGCAGTCTACTAAGTATTTTAAAAAAGTACGTAGCTCTAAATTATCTAAATATTTTAGATGGCTTGCAAAACCGACGAACTACATCAACACCCAAATCATCTGGTTCCAAGGACTATGATGGTGTTGTCTTAACGCAAGGAACAAGAGCTTCAGAGAGACCTGTTTCTAGCCCTAATGTTGAAAGTAAGTGTATTTAAGAATCAGATAATCGATCGTCAACATTCATTATGGACAGTTTAGTGAAGACTTCGTACGATAAAATGTAACAAGGACTTCCACAACCAATTCTTGAGACCACGAAAGGTGTTTATCATCAAATACCTAAAAACTGTGAATAGCTTTTATAGAGTTTGCAGATCAGATAATAAATGTCGTTTCATGACGTTGAACGTATGCTTCCTTTCTTCTTCATGGCGATTATAACCGTACGTGTTATTTGGTTTCAGAACAACTATTTATGAAGTAGCTAACAAGAGGACGCCATTGCTCTGCTGTTCCCCAATATTTGCAACCATGCAAGATTTTTACGTGTGTGTGGGCATTCACGATCTTATTTTGTATAGGTTTTCAAAGAACTGTGCTCGTGAAGCTGGACACGATGCTTGAAAACCAAAAACAAGCTCTGTCCTTGCTAAGAAAATTGGTGGGTGCATCAAAAGCATCAGCTGGTGGTGAGCTGTTGGAGGATGTCATCAATAAACAAATGGACTCTCCCAATGACCTGAAGTCAGTTTGCGACAAGCTGGTTGAAGATGATACTTTTAAGGCGAAAATGGTAAATAGGGATTCAAACTAACTGTGTTCTTCGCCTTAAAATTGTCATCAGTATGCGTTTTACTTATGTTTACCTTGCATTCCGTTCCCTTGCTAGGTCAAAGTCTTGTCTGCTTTGAGTGGGCAAAATATTGGGGATACAACGAGAAGGATCATGGCCAAACTGGGAACCAATAAGCTATGGTCAGGGGCGGATTCAGACCGTTGCAACCGTAGCATATGCTACGGTCAGATTTTCCCTGAGATATATTTTTCCAGGTTGTACCTTTTTTAAAGTTATTAAAAACTAAGACATTATACTATTTTTAATTGCTGTTATTTTCAATTTTTCATTGAAACTTGGTGCAATTTTTTTTAAATTTACTAAATCATATTGATACAATTTTATCGAGTTTTTATTTCATTTTGGATAATTAAATTCGGGTTTTTCTCAAATTTCCGCCTGAAATACTGCCTGTATTTGCGGGTTTTGCACTAGTACTATATCACATCGTTCTGAAGTCGTAGCATTTGCTTCATTGTGATTGGCTTGCTTCGTCTAACCGTAGCAAACCAATCATAGCGCTGTATTTGGAAATTTTTGCAGTGGTCAGATTGAAACTGACCGTTGCAAAAATTCGCAAATACGGCGTGCTGATTGGTTTGCTACGGTCAGACGAAGCACACCAATCAGAATGGGGCAAAATGCTACTGTTTGCAATAGTCGCATCGACTTCAGAGCGATGCTGGCTTGTTATTGTCGTGTTGGCTCCTCGTTGTAATCGAAGTCGGTAAATTTTAATCGCCGCTCGTTCCAAGGAGAACGATATGGCTTCTATAGACTCCACGATCTTCTGTGTATAATGAACGAATGTAAACATGTTTCATTTAACGAAAAGGTGCACGAAAGAATTCTGATCGAAAGCTTTTGGTGTGCGATTATTGGCATAATTTGCATTTCCCGCGATGTGAACTGTGAAGACAGCGCTGTTTGAATCACCTCCGTGTCAGGTCAGTCTCATGAATAGTATATTAAATATGTAAATAAGTATAGGTTATTTTGAGGCAACAAGGGGATATGTGAATAAACACATATCCCCGAGGTGCCTCAAAATAAGTACTTATTTTTCACACTGCGAGGTCGCGTTAATGAGACAGAATAGAAATAATTCCTAATGCCATATTGCCTTCGTTATGTTGTTTTTTTAAATCACATATCCCCTCGTTGCCTCAAAATAACCTATACGAATTTTACACAGTTCATGCGTCTCGAATATATTACCAATTTTACCATATATTTGCTGATGAAACGTATTATTATAAAAATGCAGAACAATATCAATGGCCACTCACACTATTTGATAGCCATTGGCATGCCATGTGTGTTTATATTAAGAAATATGTTAGTTAATCTCCTATATATTTTATATCTTAGACTTTGCTCATGTAATTATTAGTTGTAGACCTGTAGTCTATAAAGACTAGTGAGTACTGTAAATGAAATTTATAGAAATAGTTACACTCCGATATATTATATTGTAGTTTACATGTATACTAACAGAGTTTAGAATTACAACAGCTGAGCCTGCTTCCTGGGATAACATATCATAAATATATGGTTAGATGTTTCAAATCCATGTATTGTATACCTTATACTTGTATTAAATTTCGCGTCGTATACTCATTTTCGTTCAGCTTTAAATTTGTGCATTCCAATTTAGCGAAACTTGTTCTCGCAGCTTTAAATTCGTGCAAGTAATTTTCCGTGTTGGTTCCTTTTGGTTTGTTTAATAGAACTATAACAACAAATACTTCAATATTTGTCAAAACAAAATTCATGATAACAGTAAAGCCTGGTTCACATATGCCTGCGGGATGCCTGCGACTGTATCATTATGCCTCTACTTGCCGCCGAAATACCGGCAAAGTTGAACTCAAGTCAACTTCCCCGGCCTACCGCCGATGTAACTGTGGCACTGGAGGCAATCGGCGAACAAATGTTCACATAATTTACGTTTTAAAGCTACCATCGGCATTGTCGCCGGTACGTCGCAGGCATATAATTATGTGAACCAGGCTTATAGCGTATAAAGTTCAAACTTCAAAATGTATGGTTTTCATTTGCCTAATACAATAACAATGACAATAACTAATTTTTATTAGCATCCCATATATTACAGGTTCGTATATGGTATTGCCTTACATTATATTATTTACTAACAACGAGTGAATATTACACCGCAAAGCTTTTCGCGTGGCCATTATATTTCCCGCAGTACTAAAATTTGCGCACCAAGCTCTGCGCAAATTCCTGCAGTACTGCTCGAATTTTAGTACAAATAAACATATACAAATAAACATTTTCCCTAATTGCCGTTGTGCTGCTGTTTCAAGATGATCTACAAATAAACATTTTTCCTATAACTTGGAGATAATCTATATACAGTACAGAAAATATTTCAGTTTCCTGACTGCCATAAGTTGTCCTGCTGTTTCGGGATGATCTATACATGCTGCTGCTTAGCCAGATAAACATTGTCCCTAACTGTCGTTGGGCCGTTGTTTCAAGATGATGTACATTTGAAAACTTTCGAACTACTGTTATCTTACTTTTTCAAGATAATCTGTTGTTCGAAGTGGTATGTTGATGTTGTGCGTTTTTTTTTCCTTATTTTGGTGTGAAAAACAGGCACTTTTCTACAAATTTTAAATCTAATTTCGTTGCTCAGAATGCATGAAATGGTACTTGCGGGCTTCAAAGTGTTGCAAAAAGTATGTATCCATACTTCTATTCTCTTGTAAGCCCCTGACAGGCATTAATAGAATATATAGCGAAATACAGCACTAAATGATCCGTTGCAATAAAACACAAATGTATTGATACATTTTTTCCTGTTAAGAGCCTGCATGAAGGTCCACGCTAAGACAAGCGAGGCTGACGTAGAGGAACAGCTTAGAGAGTGTTTAAAACACGCGCCAAATAAGCCTGGAGGTTCAAGATTTAAGGTATGTTCAGTTTTGTTGTTAATTTTATTTATGCAAAGTCGTTACCAACTGATTTCAAAATGAGCAAATAGTTCTTCAAATTTTGAACTTCACTGTATATTCAAATCAGAGTATAAACCGCTTTTGAGTGCAATATAAGAACATTAAAATAGTATGTAATATTTAACAAATATAAAACATTTTCCGTGTTGATATACAGTTATATCAACATGAGTGGAAATTGGGAAAACGAGAAATTGTGTGGAGTGTTTTCACACAATTTCGAGTTTTCACAATTTCCACGAGTGTTGATATAACTGTATATCAATACGGAAAAAATGTTTTATATTTGTTTTATAATATAGCACAAAGAAACATAAAGAAAGAAATTTTCCGACGTTTCCGTGTTGACATTGAGTTATATCAACACGGCTCTTAGCCAATCAGCGCGTTCAGAATTTACAAATGCTATATTATAATTACTAATCATTTGCCTATTTTGTACACGTATAATACACGCTTCCGGAAACCACGTCACCCTGGCTATAGAGCCTCGTTTTTGTGATTGATAAGTTAGCATTAAACTGATATCACATACAGTACATGAAAATGAGGCTCTATAGCCAAAGTGACACACGGGTGTATTATGATATAACTCCTAACGAAAACCAAACAAAATTGAAAAATATGTTTTTCACAAGTAGTTTGTACTGTGTGCATGTAATTAGGAATATTTCTTTTTTATAGAGCCGTGAACCCTTAACGACCATCACCGTCAATGAACTCAACGATTCAGACTGATTCACACAAAAATTATGTGTAAATAATGTAATATATGCTTTGTACCGCGTCTCAAGAACATAATTATGTATATATACACTAATTTCCGATTTGTTTAATTAAAATTTAACTTCTACATGGAACATTTTAATTGTAATAACCTTATATATGCTAGTTATATGGTAAGAATGAAGTAACAATTACTATTTTAAACCGTCAATGTTTTTGGTTGTCATTATATAATGGTTAATAGAATTTGCAAAGACGATCAATGTAATGGCGATACAGTCAAGACCAAAAAATTGTATACAGCTATTTCAATTAAGGTTGTCCACGAGCAAAGCGGAAATGTCGAATAAGAAGCGCGAAAGGCTGGTGGGAACCGCTTTGAAAATTCATTAATTTTAATGAATTTTCAAAGCGGTTCCCAGCAGCCTTTCACGCTCGTATTCGACATTTCCGCTTTGCTCGTGGACAACCTTAATTGAAATAGCTGTATACCTAGCTGTTTGTTTAAGTTGGGAAATCGATTGCAAAATCATTCAATGATGCCAAAAAACCCCGGCTAATTATGATTGTTCGCCTAACATTGTGATAACGTTAATAAAGAACGTTGTGACAATGATTTTGAGTGAACTAGTAGATGTTGTAAAGTATAGAGCTGCTTTGAAAAGTCAAACCCAGAGAGTCAAACCCGTCTCATACATGTGTTAGTATTACTTATAAGGTCATTATATAATATATTTTAGGCAAAATATACCTGGTTATCGCAGACTACTCATTGTGACAAGGTTGTGATAACGTTAATTTTGGACGTTGGTCACAACGTTATTACAACGTACCCTGGAGTCTACAAATTTTCGTTGTGACAACGTTGTGACACAACGTTTTCTCGACGTAAGTCTAACATTCGCACAACGTTGTCACAACGTTAGTGTGCTAGCTGGGGAATGAACACAATAAAAAATAATGTGGCAAACTTAGAATCTAATTTTGTCATATTTATAAACAAGATATGCTTATATCACTAGTCGATCTAAAAGAAGAAATAAAGGTGAAAGATGAGAAAATCGAACTACTTTAAAAAGGGATTATCAACCTTGAAGTAATAAACAAACTACTACAAAAAGATAATACAGACCTGAACAACATCTCCAAGAAACAAAAACAGATAGACAAAAAGTTAATGCTGGAAAAAAAGTCATCTACTGCAGAACCCTCTCAATGTACTATACCTGAATTAATCATTTCAGACTCAGCAGTTGAAATACCAGATAATACTGAGCCCTTTGTACCACCAGAAACCCCCTTGATACCTACCATATCGATAGACAACCAATTCGATGTACTTACAGACGAAAACTCAAATACAAGCATGAAATTACAAGATGAAAACCAAAACATTAACCCTGTGAAAACATGTAATGCTGAAACCATTATCCTTCGTGACTCCAATGGATGAAACCTGGATCCAAAGCTATTATGTCCAAACTCAACCACCGAGTATGTGAGATGCCCCACAATTGAAGCTGCCAATAAAATCCTATAGCAACATCAATTTAGCAAACCCAAGACATTCATAATCCATACAGGTACAAATGATATTGAAAGATGCTCTACTGACAACAGCAAGACAAAAACGCTCTTATCCTCCATCAGACAGAAACACCCCCAAGCCTGTTTAATCTTGTCAAGTCTTCTACCTTGTAATGATCACCTCCTTCAAAAGGCAAAAAAAAACATTAAATGATCGTCTTGAGAAGTTTACAAATGAATTTCCAAACACCACCATTTTGAAACTTACAAATCTCTTTGAATCCACCCAAATTCTATATGACAAGAAACATCTCAATCATAAAGTAGTCAAGATATTTGCCAAAAACCTCAAAAGTGCACCAAACAAAAGCATTACAGCCCTAAACCAAAACCTTTATTCCACCTACCCACTAATAAACAGTTCACACCAAACCACCAACCATATCACCATGTCCACACCTGGTCAACTACAATCAACAATTCCCACTACTCCCAAGGAATGGCAATCCTAACACCTGGAAACGACCGCTAGACAACGAAACAAGCCATAAAGTCTCAGAGATGATCAAGATTCTCGATAGTCTATTTCAATAAACAAACTGTATAAAGTACACAAAAGAAACCATTAACATAATTATATGATCTCTAACTAAATATTCAGTACACTTAATATATATTGCCTTGCGATTTTCATGGGCGTACCGGAAGGAAAAAATTAGGGGGGCGGAAAGAAAATTGCCCGACTTTTCGGGATTTTGCCCGACTAATACCAAAAAATTTTCCGGAAAATTTTTTTTGGCGATTTTATAAAAAATATTGAAGATCATGATTTAATCTTTCTTGGAATTGAAACATGGTCAAATGAGACTAACAGCATTCCTGGTTTCAAGGCAATATCCACAGTCACAGCAACACCCAAGTCAAACTTTGCTTGCCGTTTGTCTGGTGGAATTTCACTTTTGTTCAAAATAGGACTTGAAACTTTTATTTCTGTTGAAAAATGTACAAAAACGTATTTATGGTGTCGAATAGACCGCACAATCCTAGACACCACAAAAGATCTATTTATTTGTGGAGTCTATATTCCCCCGGAAAGGTAGTAGTAGTAGTGGTAGATTTATTCAACCTCCCCGTAGGGCTTTTCAGGTTTAAATTACAATATTATGTCTTGAAATTTACAATATAAAAAGTGAATAGCTATTATAAGTTATTACATATATTAAAATGTTAAAAGTACATTATAAGAACCATGTATGTACATCATAAAATTTAAAAATAAGTTCCTTTCAAAGTTGAAATGTTTGAAAACTTTTCATGAAGCCGTTTCTTTACTGCCTTCTTAAATTGGGGTAAAGATTTCAACTGTTTCTCCTGTTCTTCAAGCGAATTCCAAAGTTTACACGCTCTAAATATAAAAGTGCGTTCAGTGTTTTTTATACGACTTTTCCGCGATCTCAATTCATCCTTGCTTCTTGTATTATAAGCTTTATTCTTAATCCTACAAGAGTCAAGATTTGAGGATAGATATTCCGGTACAAGATTATTGATACACTTGTAAGTCATCACTGCCTCTCTTAGATAGATTATTTCAGGGATAGGAATCCAGGATAAATTATGCAATATAGGTGTAATATGACAGAATTTAGGTTCTCCAGTAATTATCCGGGCAGCAAAGTTTTGAATATGTTGTAGCTTTTGGATGTTCTGCCAACTTGTTGAAGACCATACTGTCGAGCAATAGAGTAGTTTACTAAAAACGAGTGACTGAATTACAGGTTCCAGCATTGCTTTATCAAGTAGGTGTTTAACTTGACACTTGACGTATTTGAGACAATTTATAATGGCATGATGATACAGTTTCATTTATTTGACTGGAAATGGTGCAAAAGTTGATTGACACCAAACAAGATAAACTGAGTTTTATCTGGATTTATTAAGTGTTGGTTTCTACTACACCATCCCTCAATTCCTCCTTCAATCTAACAAGAGACCATCATTCAGTTCTTTCAATGGGAAAGAGAGATATAGTTTAGTATCGTCGACGTAGGATTTAACAGATGCATTAGTGGTTACTGAGCAGAGTTCATTAGTGTAGATATTAAACAAGAGAGGGCCCAAAATTGTGCCCTGGGGTACTCCGTATTTTACTGGAAGAGGCTCGGACAGATCAGATTCTATTCTCACTTGTTGCTCCCTGTCAGAAAGGTTAACTTATGACACCAATCCAACGTAATCCCAGAGACACCAATACTTTTAAGTTTAGCCACCAAAAGAGAATGGCTAATACGTAATCCCAGAGACACCAATACTTTTAAGTTTAGCCACCAAAACAGAATGGCTAATACTATCGTAGGCTTTACTGAGATCTAACAAGATCATAGCTGTAATGTCTTTGCAGTCCATAGCATTAAGTATATCATCAGTTATTTGGAGGCCCAATGTCTCAGTTGAATGATATTGTTTATTACCGTTCTGATGGGTTGACAAAAGCTTATTAATAGTTGGACGGTTTGTGAACTGTTGATGTATAACGCGCTCGCAAATCTTAAATAATATCGGTAGTAATGAAATGGGGCAGTTGTTACTGGCAGGTTCCACTTTGTCGGTCTTAGGGATGGGTATAATCTCCGCTATCTTCCAAGCTTTAGGAAATATGCCTTGAGTCAAGCTAGAGTTAATAATGTCAGTGATAGGCTGAATAATATATGGCAAACAATCTATTATGAAGTTCAAAGTAATTTTATCGAGTCCCGGAGCTATATTTTTAGGCATAGCTGAAATAATATTCCCAATTGTCTCACAAGACACAGGCTCGCAGAAGAATGTTAAAGACTCCCCAGCATTAGTAGTATTCAAGTGTTCAGTAAAGGGGGGGAGATCGTAGATGGTTATGTATTCCCTAGCTTTTTCCACCACATTTAGGCCAACAGATGTAAAAAATTCATTGAATTCTTGAGCGACAACAGATGGTTCTTTACTATAAGTGGGTTTCATTGAGTCTCGAACAGGAAGACAACGTCTAACAGTTTTCCATAAGCTGTTTGAGTCATTCTTGTTCGTTTGGATTTCATTCTTTATGAAATCTGACTTGGCAAGTTGAAGGTCGAATTTAACTTGTCGTTCAATATTCCTAAATATGAGCCAGTCTCGGGGGTTGTGTGTTTTACGAGCAATTCGATGAGCAAGGTCTCTTTTGATGCATAAGAGTTTTTATTTCAGCCATAATAAACAGGCGGGGTTTGACAAGGAAGAACTTTTTCATGAAAGGAAACTAGAAGAACTAGAAAGAGTTTCTGAAAATGACCCAAATTCCTTCTGGGAACTATTAAAGAATATGAGTGATGACTTTGAGGACCCTTCCATGAGTAAACCAGATGTTGCGGCTAACAGGTGGCTCACTCATTTCGAATCCCTGCATGAAAACATACGTTAGGCACAGAACAGAATAATATTTTACAAAAATGAACAAAACTTGAAGAAGAAACCCCAAATAATTTTCTTGATGAATCGATTTCTGAAGTAGAAGTTTTGAGTGCTGCAAAGAAATTAAAAAACAACAAATCTGCATATTCTGACAGGATAAAAAACGAAATGCTAAAGTGTAGTGTCAAAATATTACTTAAATTATACCAAAAACTTTTTAACCTCCTTTTGGAAACAGGGCATTTCCCAGATCAATGGTGTTTAGGTCTCATTACACCAATTTTTAAGTCCGGAGATAAAACTGACCCCAATAACTACAGAGGAATTTGCGTGACTAGCTGTCTCAGCAATTATTTTAAATCAACGGTTAATTAGTAAATTTAGCATTGATAGAAACATAATTCACCCATCCCAAATCGGATTTCAGTCAGGCCACAGATGAGCTGATCACATTTTCACTCTCAAAACAATCATTGACAAACACATAAATCAGAACAAAAAGGAAAAACTCTATGCATGCTTTGTTGATTTTAGAAAAGCTTTTGACTCTGGCACGAAGGCCTTTTTTTAAAACTGCTTGAAAACAAAATTGATGGTAATTTCTACAACCTTGTTAAGAGTTTATATTCAAACTGTAAATGCGCCATAAAAGAAAGCAAAACTAATCTAACTGAATTTTTCTCTTACTCCAAAGGAGTGCGTCAAGGCTGTGTTTTGAGCCCTCTTCTATTTAATATCTATATAATCGAATTGGCAACATTATTTGATATTACAGATGCTGATCTGTTTACACTACCAAATAGAATTAAACTGAGTTGTCTTCTATATGCCGATGACTTAATTTTATTATCTCGATCAAAATTCAGCCTACAAAAATCTCTAGACAATCTCCACAGTTGAAGTAAAAAATGGCTCATGGAGATAAATTTGAAGAAAACACGAATAACGATTATTGAAAAACAAAAAAAAAATAACGGCAAGCCCAAAGTTTAATCTTGGAAATCGGAACATAGCAATCGTACAGGAATACTGTTACATAGGAGTCAAACTAAATCACAATGGAAATTTCACTTTAGCTCTAAAGCAACTAAGTGAGAAAGCCTTGCATGCTTTATATGGTATAAGAAGACAGATCGACTTCGGGAAACTCCCTTGACCCAAACAACTACCGAGGTATCTGTGTCTCAAGTTGCTTGGGAAAATTATTTTGCTCAATTCTAAACAATAGATTGATGAATTTTTCCAACGAAAAGAAACTAATTCACCGAACACAAATTGGATTTATGCTTGGAATGAGAACGGCTGACCATATTCTCACACTGAAATCTCTACATAACAAATACATTAAACAGAGTAATAACGAAAAAATCTATGCATGTTTTGTCGACTTCAGAAAAGCCTTCGACTGTGTTTGGCATCGAGGTTTATTTTATCAACTAATTAAAAACAACATAGTGGGTCACTTTTATGACTTAATTCAATGTGGCGTGAATGCGAAATGGCGTTGTTTATTAACCTTATAATCGGAAAGGTCATGTATTTGGCTTAAAATTTCTTGTGGTTGAAACAAATTTGTTGCGTATATTTTAACTGATTTATAAACTTCCATATTTAAATGGAACGATTGTGATAATTTTTTTAGCTGTCAAATAACAATCGGAACAATTAACTGCCGTTGAATAACTCTAGCCTGCGCCGCAGACGATATATCATATTTGCTCCTGTATAGTTTATCTTTCTTATTACGGAATGCAAACCAATGTACAAACTGTTCCTCTTTTCGCCTAAAGTCGTGTTTCTTCATCAGTATATGCAGGTAATTTTGGGGAAATTATCTGATGCTGCTAATACATAACATATATCGATTTAAAGTAACATACCGATAGCCGGACAGAGAAACATACTGACTGTTTTGGTTAGTCGCGTCAACAAATCTAGCTATAGTTCTCGCAAGAATTTGTTTGTTGAATAATTATGTTCTATTATAAAATGCTTTCATTCTATATTTGTGTATGATGTATTTTTGAGATATTCATATATAAACACATAGTTCCATTGTATAGATGACAATATATATAGCAGATTTGGCTACAGTGCAATCATACCTGCCAAGTATACTACAGCCTACTACAGTTTATAATTTATACTGCGCAAGATCCGTAACCGCATAAAATAATAGTAACATACAGTATACTAGTGATTTAAATTCCTTAAGATATGCAGCTTTCCCTGAAACAAATTTCATGTCTTTGTGCACACTTTATTTTATCATTTAGTTACAATTCCAAACGTTTTTCATGATGGTTTTCCCGTAGATCATAGTACATCTGCCACTATATATCAGATTACCAAGGCATGTTGTCTTTAATAGTGAGAAAACGGCTCCCTCTTCATCGCTTAAATAAAGGCATGTGCAACTGATTTCTTTTGTAAACTATAACTCAGTCTTCTGTAGTTATATTAATGCAAATAAAACTTGCACAAGGCACAAAATAAGCTTTTATCGAAGTAAAGAAACCAGCTAACTCAAGAGGCGCAGCATGAGGTGAAGTAAACAAATATGAACCTCGCGTGATTGCATGACAGATGTCCTTGGCCTTCTATGAGTTAAAGAACAGAACTTTTCCCCCAAAACTATCGGGTAGTGGTCTCTGTTTGTTGCATTCTCCTGGATGTCCTTTATTTCGATCACACGTTTGACTTTACGGCAATAATCTACCGAGCTAGAAGGACAACACAGCGGGAAGTGAAGCAACAACATGGCGCATCAAGAACGCATATAAAATGCAAATGCGTTCGTTAAAGAGACTTTTTCCCACACCTTTGTCCAGCACTGCTATCCATTTAGACTTGTTAAATAAATGCTATTCTTCAACTTTGCCTTGAAAAGTTTCTCCCAAATCAAGTTTCAACAAAAATATTTGAAAAAAAAACAAGGAAAAATGCTGAATTCTCAGCTATTTCTGTTAATAATTGCGGCAATGCTGCGAATTCAGCAGGGTTTTCAAGGGGGGATTGTAGGCCATGCACGTGCGATGCTGTGGGAGCCCTAGACAGTACAATTTGTCCTTCTCGGCATGATTCTCATCACCCAAAAGGCGAAAATACATGGCTACAACAACACCAACATTTTCCCGTTTTCAAATAACCGTATAGGTCATTTGTGCACACGAGTTAATAGACGGTTCCATGTAGTACAGATTGAGTAAGTATCGTTTTAAAACGTTGAAAAATAAACGCAAACAGGAGCGCCAAAGACGCAGTATTTGAACCGCGCCATAATTCACAGCTAGGAAACCGGAAACCAATATACGCGCGCAATTTGAATCCGAGAGCAAACTGCATAGCAACCGGCCATCATGTTTCAGAAAACAGAACACCATTTTTCCCCTACAAAAAGGAAGTCAGACAGGGATGCACTCTAAGTCCCCTATTATTTAATATTTATATTAATTCATTAACGTGCAAGCCGTTACAATGCAATATGGCGAATATGTGATTGAATTCAAGAGCTTTCACCAAAATGGCAATATCTCAGAAACAGTTGCATAAAATAATCTGGTCTTTTCAACCAAATATTATTGATATATGATTGACCAAATTTAGTTTAAATGAACTTGCATACCTATATATATCATTAGCTTTTCAATGAGAATTTTTATTTGTAAAGCAGCACGTGACATTTTGTTTTTCATGTCACTCATCACCTAAAGGGGCAATATCTCCATAAATTTATATAAAAACCAAAAAAAAATATTATTCACTAAATTAGTACATAGCTATATTATAACCAATTTTCATCTATTGGGATATGAATTAGAAAATGATCAAAAATTATAAAATATACTCCTTTGCTTTTTTTGGGCAAGACGTTTACAACATGAAATTTAGAACAGTAACTAAGTGTTCAAATTCAACAAAGTGTGCAAGCCAAAACACAGTGCTTTTAATTACTTCAAGTATATTTAAGAAGACATATGGTACTAGAATCTATTTATTTTCAATATAAACCAAGGATGGGAAGGTGAGAAAATAGGAATTTTCTGAGGTGTTTTTAACACAGACAATGACAGCCGACATTTTCAAAGGCAAATTGTGGTGACAAAAGCAAAAGCTATTAACCTCTCTACTCAAAGCACTGAAAAACACCATAAAAAGAAAAACATTTTAAACATACATCAGGTAAGACTTTTAGCTCAATTTACTCATGTTTTTGTTGGAAAAGCAACAGTTTTTAGCCAAAATTATTTTGTGCGCCAATGTAGGCTGCTATAAAATGTCAGACACGCATTCTCTTTTGAAGTCTGGCTCTGAAAAACAATTGCTTTTTTTTAGTTTGAAATAAGCCTTCATAAGGACTAATGTGTAGGAATAATGTGTATTCCACATGGCTATAAAAGGGTGAAATAAGGACTTTCATCTTTGGTTGTTTGTCAGACGTGAGAAACCACATTAGTGCCATTTTGTCGCGCGTGCTATTTTATAAAATAAACACCTCGAAACCGTAAACTTTTAGTTCAGAAAATTACAAAGTTTTCCATAGACAGTATTAAAAATGTTCTAGTGAAGTGATTTCATGATAAATAAGTGAGCAATGGGCCCAAAAGAACTGCTAAGGTTAGTTTTTGTTAGGACTTCAATTTCATGGCTTCCTGCAAAGGAAGCCATTTCAGAGAGAAGCTACATTTTGCAAGCAACCGTCGCAACCTATTTTGATAACTTGTTCTTCTGATTCAATGTGTAGTTACTAGAAAATGATGTTTCATCAACATTATTATGTGCTTTATCAATTTAAAGTTTTATAGGGGATATAATAACCAGTAAAAAAGCATTTTGAAAGCTTTACAACTCAAGTGCGGACTTTTTGAGAATTCGCACGCGGCAAGCAAGCACGTTTATTCAATACACTTATTTCAAACCACAATATGTCTGAAAGAGTTGTCATTTTAAGACTAAATTGATGAAAATAGATACAACAGTGACTTTGGAATATCCTACTTATTTTTGTGTAATTTAATGCACCAGTCAATGTAAATCCCCGCCCCCCCCCCCAACCGGGGACGAAAGCGGGGGAATGGATATTTTATTGAATTGCGGAAATTCGAAATTTGAAAACGGAAGCACGGATACATTGCAGACGTTTTCATGGTGACAATTCTTTCGCGCATGCTGTATTTGCCTTGGGCTTGGATGTTTGATATTTCGGATTATTTCCTTGATATGTTTGTTTAACTCTTTCTCAACAGGGCCCAGTTCGCGAGCGATCGACGGCTCGAAATTTCATACTTTCGGTTCAGTGCATGCTATGAAGACAGAAATACCACCATTCGATTCAGAAATAAAATATCAACTAGTTCCAAACGATAGTTATAGTCATTATTAGTATTGTAACGATTTATGGGCCTTTGAAAGTCAAAACGATCATATTGTATCAAATTACGCAATTGTCTGAACAAAAATACAGATTATTATAGACTAGCCATACCTTTCGCCGAAAATAACTTCAGCCCCATCGAACATATCGTCTTTGTAATAGTCTTGTTCGAATCCCCATTAAATAGTGTTTTTGGAGTGTTATTTGCAATCCTAAATCTACAAATCTGTATCTTTTATCAATATATTTCCATTTCTTGTCCGACTGTGAGCTCGAAGTGAATTAATCCCAACCGGAAATACGACCGAAAACCGTCAAAACAATGCGGCGTTTGTATCGTATGACCCTGGAAAGGCCAGAAATGGATTCGCAAGGTCAAATTGCACCTACACGCGTGAGTTTGACGTCATCCCGGCCAAAGGAGCTTCTTATTGGCCAATTATTGCGCAATGTACGCAAGTGCGAGTAAAACCCGATATCTTGAAAAATTCAAAATAAATATTTCTAGTCGGCGTATACATACGAAACTTTCTACACGAAAGCGCTTGAATACAGAGAGTATTTTACACGTATAGCCGTTTAGCAAATGACGAAAAGTTCAAAGGGTATTCAAGATCTTGTGGATATGAAATTTAGAATCTTTGGCCAAGCGGTGAGTAAATATATGATTGTTTCGCTTTGTGTAATGTTTTGACGGCACTTGACCCCCCGTTCGAAAGGTTATTTTATGAGGATTTCAATGGTGGCATTTATTTAAAAGGGGGGTAAATACTCGCCGAGATATTTATATTAGAAAAATTGAATCGAAATGTAATGCGAAACCGGTTGTCAGGAAAGAGTTAAACAAAAAGTACTAACTATTAAAGGTAAGAAAACTTTTTATTTCTTTTATACTTTATCAAGGTGGCTCCCTACAGTTGTTGAGAATGGCAGCGAAAAATAAGGTCTTCACAACGACGTGAAATAATTTGCTATTTATGCAAAATAGAGAATTTTTTGAAAGTATAAACGCTTGTGCAATCTCTATACTTGAAGTACATTCGTTCGAAAGATTCAAATTATGTGTTGCTATGGTAACAATGTGGCCCAAGCGACAGCAGTCAGACATTAAATTTTACACTAAAAATGAATTTATTAAAATTTCCTTCGGTCAAGTTTCTAAAATGTGGTAGGGGTAAAGGGAGTATCTAGTGGGAGATTATATAAAAAAATTAGGTGGAGTTACAAATTGAACTTTTGAGACATCACACAAAATTTGTTCCACAAAAACTGCTTTATAGAATTTTTCAAAAATTGAGTATATTGAACTAAATGACTAGTACTTTTAAAAAACAAAATTTCAGAAAAATTGACTGAAGGAAAAATAAGTTACTGCACTTCAAACCTTGTGTGGCGAGATGAAATTTTTGCTGACGTGATTTTGTTTCAACTTTACAAGCTCACTTTTTGAGCATGCACGCCGGGAAAACTTTTCAAAACATCTTTAAAAACTGCGAGTTTGACTATTTATCTTTGCCAAACTTTGGTCTTTTTATAAAATTTATAAATGTATGACTTTAGTTTTACATTCACTTGTTTGAAAAGATAAAAAACTACATGTAAATGTAGTAATTTAAGTCGAATGACAGGAGTTTGTTTAAAATAAATTTATTGATTTAATATATTAAAAATATCAATTTTAAAAGAACATTATTAAGACAATATTGAACGTAAACACGTATAAAAACACACTAAAAGATAGCGTAGAAACTGGGAAACAACATACATACAGTTTGAATTTCAAAAATTTACAATTCTATGGAAAAACATGAGTTTTCTTCTTTGACATAAAGTTTGAAAACATACTTTCAAATTTTTTTACCAATCCACAAAGATTCAACACGCGCGGCGCGAGTGTTTCCACTTTTAGAATTATCGTGTTTCCATTTTACAATCGTGTTTTCACTTCTAGTTTCAACTGTAGGGAGCCACCTTAAATCTGCAATTGGCGAATTTTAAATATATTTCAAAAAGAAAAATTCACAAAGAAAAATCATATAAAAGCGTATCATATCTTTTATGGAAATAGTACGTGAAGTCTGAGTTTTAATAAAATTTCTTGTATCCTGATTCTTCAGCCATAAAATGTAATACCTTTGACTTTGTTTTGATTTGCATGTTTTACAAAAGCCCATCTGGGTCATCTATTTAACATATTTAATAAATATGTTAAATGCATAATGTTTTAAATAGTACATGATAAATTATTTTATGTTTTGTGTTTCTATTTTAATATAGATATGAAACTTTTCAGGGTGTGGTCAGCAGACCGCACATTGAAGAAAATGATTATAGCTGAGAACTATGAAGATCTTTTGAGAAAAGGTACCTGGAAATCTCGAAATATCTATCTATCCTGTAAACAATGTTTGGGCAGGACTTTTGGGTATATTTATACTGTATATTAAAAGTTGTCTTAAGAAATAATCATTGACAAGTATTGTAGTTTCTACATCTATGTCCCTCAACAAAGCATTTCAACTTATCGACATAGGTGGTACATGAAGGTGTATTGGGGTGCTTTCCATTTAATGGCCAGCCATGGAAAGATCTGGTCCAGGTTTCTTGAAACTATAGCCGAAATGGAGCTTGTCCTGATTTGATCCAAATTTTACTGTCATACTTCTCTGATGTCCAATAATTTTGTGTTTCATTTAATAATTTTATCAGTCTAACTGGCCCGACCATGTTAATGGAAAGTACCCTTGTTATCCCAGTACCACAGCTCACCCCCACCCATGCACCCCCAATTCTGTCTCTTTCTATGACTCAGTATTTCTTAGTTTGGCTAACAAAATAACTATGAGTATATTTTTATATGATTTTCCAAATAATGTTACATAGCACCTCTTCATAATACCTACCTAATACAAAATAGATCTAGTTATATGAGTTATATCAAGTTATGGACATAGTATTTTGACAATATTTTGACTATATATATAAAAATAGGTACGCACTGCGTACATGTGGCTTGTCGAATACAGCTGGAGTTCACACTGTCATGAACATTCAACACAAACATTCATTCTGATACAAAATTAATAATTACAATAGATGAATGGTCAAAATAAAACAGATACAGCATCGTTCTTACAATGCCAACAAATGGCTACAATCACTCGATTTAAAAGCAACATTGGTTGGTAGCAATGATTCAGCCAACAATATTATTGAGTTACACTAGTACTTTAATTAATAAATGTTTTGCTAAAATAATAAGCATATACAGCAACTAATGATGTCAATTTTATTGTTTTTCAAAATTTCACTAATATGTAATTCACTAAGATTTCATTACATTGGGTTTCTTGTTACAAATATATTTGGTGTCTGGTTTACAAGTCATCAGCTTTTCTTGAATTGCTGGCATCGCAGATATCATAAAACATTTAAATTCAAAGTTCTTCAATATAATATTTAATACTAGATTTCTAAACATTTTTTATTTATTGTAAAATCTAACAGCATCGGAATTTATAATGAACTCATCAAATCAATTTAGTCATTACCACTAAGATTTTTGTCTGATAGTTGTATTGCCCTGATACTTGCACAAATATTCTGATCTTCCTATATTATCCAATATTGTTACCAGTCACCATATTATCAGCAAATTGACCAGAACATGTGTTCGCTATAAAAGTATGAACATGCTACTCAATTGACACTGCTGTTATTAAATGCAGAAAAGTTGAAACTTGTTGATATGATCTCATCACATTATGGCTGTGGGTTTGCTTCTTCACATATATATATACCCTCACAACTGCAAGGGTCAGTGTTGTATGGTGATTGCACTGATTTTCAGGAATGTAGCGAAGCGTCTGAAGTTTGCGAGGGGGGTGTCGGATGTCAAATGGTCATCATTTCACAAATATAACAACTTTTTTACACAAATTTTACCTCAAATGTCAAAATTTAGAGTATACTTCAATTTTACCTGAGTTTCACAGTTGTGGGGTTTACACCTCCCACACCCGTCTCTACGTCTCTGCTGATCTTAGATCGGATATATTATTTACATCTGGACTACATATCCAAAAAATATACTGCACCTATGTGCAGTTGTATTTCCTGGTTTAATAGGTCTAATGAATGCAAAATAATACATTTTCACTCAATTACTTCCATCTAGAAGATCCTTCAACTGTATGTAAACAGACTGAGCTTCCACGCTAGTGACTACTATAGACTATATTAATATAAAATAGTCCAGCCTGTTTTCTGTGTTAATTGTAGTTTTGTACCTGCAAGTGGATAGGGCAGTTGTAGTGTTGTTGTAAAATATGCCAACAATGGGCTTGTTTCTTATATAATTTACCCACATAATGGTATATTTAAAATGCAAGATCTGTGCAAGAACGTTCCGATTATAAACAGGATTGTAAACTCACTATCAAGCTTTATATGAAGCGTGATCAAAATCTCTTTGACCAGAAGCAGAGTCCAGAGCAGACATGAATAGCAAATATGATATTGACAGATTCACAAATTGTAAACATATAAAATATCGATTGAAATAACAAAAATTATCTTACCGTTTCTGTGAAAAATTCATTCAAGTATTTCTACGAGAGTTGCCAACTGTAATTTTGCTGAGTGAGGCATATATCTGTCACTTTAAAGTCGTTACTCGTTAATACGATCACAGTATAAGGATACAATACCTTTTCTGTGGCATTTAATACCATCGCCTCATGCCATCAACGAGAGTTTCCGAAGCCAGTCAACAAGTTCCGTCACAACTTCACAACTTTTACAGTTTTAGCGTTACATTGTGGCTAGCCCGCGAACGTGCTAGCCACAAAAAGAACTGACATGGTGTACTATAGAAAATGCCTCTAGCATCATATTTTGCCGTCATGCCCCTGTAGATCTTTTTTGGGGACCATTTTTACCTCACCAAGAGGTTTAATGCTTTTTATGTGTGTGTGTGTATTTTAACGAAACTGGATAGAAATGTTCAAACATTTTAATACAAAAAATTGTTGTGTTTAACTTAAATAATTAACAGAAATTGTTTGTGAGGTTTGCAAAACGTGGAGACTGGAGAGTCTTGCTTTCCCGGTCTAAACAGAACTGAATGTGAAATTATACATATTGCACATATAATTTATGCGTGAATACCTAACTCGATTTGCTGAGCACTCAGGCATGCAGTCCCTAAGTAGCTTCTAGTATTTTAATACTTCCATGTGAAAATGAATAAGGGAGGGCATCACTTGGTCCTAGGTGGGAGCTAGAGTTACGCCCATCTAAATGCCAAGCAATCTTTTTGCTTCTTGTTTTTTATGAGAAATATATTTGATAAAAAAACACTAATATTATAAGAACATTATATTTCCTATGGTCAAACCATGGATTGTAAAATAACTGGATACGAAACTAGCTGACATCACAGTCTAAACCTAGTTGCAATCTGTGACGTCACATGTATTGCCAAAGTTTTCAGCATTTTTGTTGTTTCACTATATTTTCCGCTTTGAAAGAGTTATATTGAAGCAAAAACTGGTCTAATTGTTTTAAAAGGTAAATGTTTTTCGTCTTTGTTTTGTATTTTTTAACATTTGTAGCTACGAAATTGGCGGCGCCAATTTTTACGAAATTTGCGATGCATTTTTCACTGTTTAGTGCTTGAAATATTTGCTAAAATTGACTGGGAATACTTAGAGATTTCATCGTAGAATGGTCTAGTAATATTTATTTGCTCTTAGCCTAAAATGTCTAGCTGTATTATCACTAAACATGCCGTTTTTGAGAATTTGGTTTGCAACTAGGTTTCAACGCCATCATCCCATTGAAAACATTAGGTCACGTCAGCTAGTTTCCTATCCATGTCTTTTACTATCCATGGTCAAACCAAAATATGATATAATATCTGGTTTCAAAGATTTTTTTATTCTAAAGGGGCTGACAAACTTGGTTTTCCAAACAATGCTATAAAGACTCTAGTTCTTGAGCAGGATGGAAATGAAGTAGACAGTGACTCTTTTGAGTATATTGAAGAAGGGACAACTTTCATTATTCTTACCTCGAATCAGGCATGGAAAAGTTGTGAAGGTTTGCATGGTTTTCACTATTATGTGCACAATAATTCTGGAGTTCTTATAGGATGTACATGAACTTGAATAATGAACATGCTATGTTGATCATGCTGATGAACTTATCCTGTGTCTCTATGTTTCCTAGATGTTGGTGTGGGCAATCAAGTGAGTGAAACCTCAAAATCCGATGAGTCAATGCAATCTAATTTAAAGCAAAGTATGATGTAATTTTGTCTATATCACTGCAGTGTATATTTCCAAATTTACATCTCTCAGACCGTGATTTTTTGTCTGTGTTTGTTTCAGGTGGCCAGAAAACTATCTGCTTTCAGGGAAATCAGATTGTGTTGGGTCCAACTCTACAGGTACGATCTGCAGGCAGAGATATTGTGTAATTGTGCAAAATTAAAAATTGTATCTCAGACGTCAAATTTGATATCTACATAATATATATATAGACCTCACCCTAATGTATTTTTAGATTAACGTTAAGTAGCTTCAAGCAGTTACTTCGTTGCGCACCTAAGAATAATTTAAATCTAAAACCACATGTTTTTGTTTTTGATTCAGCAAAGTGGTTCAAAATCAAACATTGAGGTGGCTGTTAAAATAGACCCTGAAAAGTTGAGAGAGGACAGCAAGATTTACCCAAATGCAGTTCCTGGTTCTTTCTTGTATAAATATAGAAAAGCTCTAAATGATGCTGCATATGAAATTTGTCTGGAAAATCCATCCTTAGTTCACAAGAGAGGTGAACTGCAGTCTTTGGCCAGGGCAAAAGTGGATGAAAGTGGTTATTCATACACGAAAAATAAATCACGATCGCAAGAATTGTCCATTCCTTGTGCGAACAATTTAACGCCAAAAATTACCCCATCGTTGCGAGCAAAAAGAATAACGAATATCGAAGAAGATTTAAAGGAAGTAAATTTAGAAATGTCCTTGCTTGAAAGATCCAGAGCAAAAGCCAGGAATCTAAACCAAGATGAGCGTGCAAGGAGCTTGACACAGGAGATGACTCCGCTAAGACAACGAAAGCGGAAACTAGATGATGAACTGTTGACCCTCCAGAAAAAAGAAGCAAAGTCACTCAAGCAAAAGAAAATGAGAAACTCTCAAATCAAGGAAGCCAAGAATAAGCTAGACGGTAAGCAGCTCAATTCTTCACAGCGCACTCTGGATGAAGTATTGGATAAAGGGCAGGCATTAAATGCTGAAGAAATCCTTGAAGTACTTGATTCTGTTGAAGACAGCGCAGAAATCAGCAAAGAAAGTGAAGTCAGCGAAGTAGTAAGTGATGTTGAGGAAAAGAAAAATGTAGCTCCAGCAGAGTCTTTTTTGTAGATTTGACCAGTAGGTTAGAAGAATTGATGTACTATAACTATTTAAAACAGGTAAATACTAACTTGAGTGAAGGAACTAAAGTTTCAGATGATGGTATTTACGTATCAAAGTTGAGGAATATGTGTCTGGAAGATTTTATTTTGTGCAGGTCTGCCCTGTGTTCTCGGCAGCACTTGAATAAATGTAGAGAGTGCCCACAATTAATCAATGCTGCGAAGGAAATCATTGTTTCTGGAGTCTGCAAAATCTCAAAACTTTACCGGAAACACTTTTCGTCAAACTACCGGTCATCCAATGCTACACAACGTTTCATGCAGTTACCTGTAGTCGTCTTTAAACTGTGCCAGAAGCCTGGCATGCAGAAGTTGTATGTCATCGAAAAGAATGACGGGATTGACTATCAGACACTGGTTAGTCTTGTTCACAAGTTTTCTTTGCAAACCCAATTAGATAAGACTGGAATCGCAAAGGAAACTCTTCATGAGCTTTGCAGTTTAGCGTCGACTGAAAGCGACCGAAAGTTAATAAAATTTGCTGTTTGTGAGGCAAGTAGATATTCAAACACAAAAGCTAAGGAGCATCTTGGAATACAGTAACTTGCAAGTTTGAAGAACAATGTTCAAAGTGCTCTAGAACAAGCTACAGCCATAAGAAGGGAGGTAACTGACCTTGCTACTGCTAGGGAAATGTCAGTGTTACGGTGCCTTGGATTGTATGATTGTATGAGTGGAAGTGAGAGTGACTGTGAAAGTACAGCATCAACAAATCAGAACGATTCTCAAATTGAATGGCTCAGTGAGGATAGTGACGATGAGTCAGACACAGCACCAGTGCATAACCACGTGGACCCAGATGATGGTTTAAATAAACAACCAAAAGACCTTCCTCCTACAAGTGAACATTTGTTACTTATGTTATGAGAAAGCAACTTAAACTGGTTTGCATTCATAGCAGAGTTAAAGCTGTTAATGCGCACTAGCAGCCACCACGTTATTGATCAAGTGTTAGTTGACTTTCAAGAAAATTGAGATGCTTTTGACCTGAATGACATGGGAAAAGAGTCCATTGAAATATTGAGACAAGCGTATTTGAATGATGAGAGAGTAATGGCTAATAATGCAACAGGTCTGACAGACTCGGAAAGCAATGATCCCGAGGACTGGGTCAATTTGAATCTGAGGTCAGCAAAGGGGAAGGAAATGGTTAACAAACACGTAGGCATTGTTAAGAGGATAGCAAGACGACAGGCAGCGAAGTTGATAGCAGAGAACAGTCTTCTCAAAAGAAAGGTTCCCAAAAAAGTAAGTTCAATTCTTCAAAAGTATCCGAATATTGGGCGGGACATTGAGGAATTTG